ATGCCTATATCAGAATTATTCAGAAGAAGAAGAAATCAATGAAATCATAAAATTGGCAGTAGATGCTTATAGAGCATCAGATAAAGGAAGTAAAGCCTGGTTAGAACATGTGGAACAAGAAATAGAATCAAAAAAAATTGAGGCTGGGATGACTGAAAAGCGGGCTCAAGAAATTTTAAATACGATCGATAATGGCGAGTTCTTAATAAGGGTAAAATTCATTCGAGATGATTCTGTATATGGAGATAAATTTCAAACAACGATTGCTTTTAAAATTATTGATAAATATGAGCTTATTCGTGAATCAAAAAAGGCAGGTGGAAAATACGTCAGGGTGGTCCAAACATTATACTTACAAAGAAAACAAAACCAGGATTTTGGGTAGGAATAGATGAAAAATTTTTGGTTAGAGAAGTCAGTGAGCAATCTGAGGTAGGGAAGCTTGACAGTAATGCAGTAGTATATGGATTATATCGAATCCGAAAGCCAGATGTCAATCGATTAATACCTATGAAAGATGGAGCACTTAACTGTGTAGCTCAACGAGTAATAGAGCATTTTGATAACACTAAACGAGGACATGGACTCACAGAAATTCGTCGACAAAAAATAAATGATTGGGAGAAAAAATGCGCATTCTAGGTGCTCGAGTACAAGATGTAGCAGAGTTAGAAAAAATTCTTAACCGACCGATTAAATTACTTGATATAACTCATAGTACTATATTTAATAGTGGAAAGTATCGATCAGGTAAGTATGAAGAAATCGGAATGGTAGTTCATAATGGCCATGTATTTCCAAAAAACCAGCACTTCCCAAGAGATTGAATGGTCGAATATTATAAGGGTGATACATGGGAAGCTATCAGTAATATCCTTAGGGGACCTCAAGCAATCTGGCTTATGGGAGTGGGGATACGAGTCAAACAATATCCCAGTTTGTTTTAGAAGATGGTCGCACATTTAGAACATGAAAAAAGCATACAGAAATTATAGAAGCATGCAAACAACTGGTCAATGATACAATAGATTGGCAATATCAAGAAGGAATAATCAATAAGGAAAAGAAATCGATTCTTTCAGAATCTCTAAAAGTTGTTGATTTAGCAGAGCAGGTATTTGGTGCAAACCATGCTGGAAGCCGACTCGCTAATGAAATCAA